ACTAATATCCCAGAGATGAAAGTTTCCATCTCTCACCACCAACCTTATTAGCAGAGCACTCTCCCTTGCTAGGTATTTTATGGTAATCAGTTACCACCATAACCTCCAGGATAAAGATTTGGTTCTCCTTCCTTTCCCAATATTGCTGATGTCACTACCTTTGGAACAGAGCTTGTGCCATAGAATGCGCCAAAGTGAGCCCTGTTCCTGACATTGGGATACATAAAGAGAAAGGGATATCTTTAGAGGATTATCGTGTATACAATATACCACAACTTTCTGGGCCTTACCTGTGGTTTCAGTAGGAACAAGCCCTTGTCCTTATCTTTTAAAGCACATTTTACGATGATTCATGCAAGAAGCATTAGGACTGCAAAGAAGGAAGCGACAACTGAAAATACAGAATAACATCTATAGAGACAAAGCAATGGGCCAAATTGCTCAGTGGTAGACACCTGCTGAAGTCAATGGAGTTAGAACTATGATTAATTTGACCCAGTGCATTAGAGGAAGCTGATGGAGATTTCTAGATATAGCACTCTGATTATAAACCAGTTCAGTGGCAACTGGAAAGACTGGGAGTTGGGGAGAATAGATGAAAATACTTTGCTTCCTTGTTTGGAGTAAACTTTTATCATTTCACAAGACAGACTAGATGGTTTGCTATTGAATTGTGAAACAAGCATGCAAACTTCCTGCATACCTAATTGCTTAAAACATACATAAGTCCCCCTCCCTCTGTAAGCTTCATGGAATGTTATGTAAAGTGTATTGCCACCTCTCCACCTCGAGGTTATTCTGGGAACTCCACCAATGCAGTATTTAACAAGTGCTGGGTTTACCATAGACTAGCCACATGCTGCAGACAAACAGAGCACCAAGTGATCTGATTATATATTTATCACAAAGTGGTGTGATGTAGTCAGTTGGTTTTTAAACACACAAACCTGAGACTATGCTTTCCAGGGCAGATTAGTTGCATAAGGTTTAGCAGAAATGGTGCATTTTCAGGAGGGTTTTGGAGTAGATGGTAGGTGGCCAACACCTCAGGTTAGGTTAATAGCTCCAGGCCTAAAGAACAGCATGGAAGGACAGGTGAAGAATGGGAGAAGGACATTTGGAGTAGTTAGGCCTCTTGTGCAGAGCACAGCTCATGCCAAGTGCTAGACTAGGAGCTATTGAGACTTGGCTACACCAGTTATCAGCCTGTATCTCAGCTGCCTTTTCTGGTTACAATTATTGAACAAATAATGACAATCAGGTGGCCGCAGTACCTTTGGACACTTGTTAATTTGGGGGCATAGGACAGACCAGCTTGTTACATCAGTAGATAATCTCCTGGCAATGGGCCAAGATTGCATCTCCACCCTGACATTCTTAGAACTGCCAGCTGCCTTTGATACTGTTGATCATGAGGTGTTATGTGGACTCAGTTGGGGGCTGTACCAGGAGTGAATGGGGTTGCTTTGGGGTGGGACCATTCTTGTATAAGGGCTCTCAAAGGCTGCTGGTGGGGCCCTCCCAGGGAGTGCTACAGGGTTCTATCTTGTCACCTGTCCTCTTTAGAGAGCTATGGGGCAGTTACAAGGGTTGGTGAGGAGGTGGAGATTGCTGTGCCTTCGCTATGCTGATGGGGCCCAGCTCTTTTATTTTCCGACCAGCCAGAAGGGTCAAGTACCTCAGCTGCTGTTTAGATGAGAACGAGCTGGCTTACCGTTGGTTCACAGAACATGGAGAGGATACTGATTGTAGGGGAACAAGTGGAAGAGATGGCAGAGATAATATCACCTCCTTTGACTGAGGGAGGGGCTAGCCGCTAGCCCAGCATTTGTGGGGCAAGTGAGCAACCTAGGAGACCGGCTGGCCTTCCAGCTGCTATTAGAAAGTCAGGTAGAGGCTATAGCCACAATCAGCTTTTTTCAATTACATACAAGCAAGAGGCTGTGCCTGTTTCTTTCATAGACATTTAAAACGGTCAACTGTGCTTTCATCCTCTCTTGTGCAACCACTATAACATGATCAGTGGTGCTACGTGTCTTAAATCTATCCAGAAACTGATGGCGGGTTCACTTGTTATGGACACATCTTGCCTTGACACCATTGCAGGCCCTGGAAAAACTGGCTATTTATTACATTGGAACTGTAGCACAGTTAAGGTTGCATCCCAGATTTCAGTTCAACAAGAACTTAAAACCTTTATTTTGTTCAAATCTCATTGAAATGAGAAAAACCAAAGTCAGTTATCTGTGAGCACTGCTTTATCTTCTCATGGAGGGCTAATGAAAAATGGAGAGAATAAAGTTAAAAAATACCTCCTTTTTGGCAAATTTTCACTTTTCTTTCTATCCTTTTATAAAAAAACTCAACACTCCGGGGGCCTGTCCATTGACCACAATATTGGTCATCTTATGCTTATTATCTATGACTAACTGATAACTGAGCAGTTTATTGAGTATTTTACAACATTTTAGCCTCAACAGAAAAGAGATGCAAAGCAGAACCAACCTACTTTAAATGAGTCAGACAGGGAACCTAGAGGAAAGGTCTTTGAGCTGGGAAAGAGGAAGTCATTTCAAAACTCACCTGTTTAAATTTCCATGTAATTTAAACTATCCTTGATATTGGCCAAGCTCATGAACTTTAACCTAGAAGGCAGTCAAGGAAGAGCTGTTGAATTCCCCCTGTTTAAAATAAGTTAGCACAGAGCCTATGCAAGGATGGTGCATGCATGAAACCTAGGTCTCTAATGGTAAGATTTTCAAGAGTGCCTAAGCAAGTTAGGCACCTAAATACTAGTGACTGTCAGTGGAACTTCAGTGCCCAAGTCAGGGCCAGTGCTACCATTAAGGCGAACTAGGTGGTTGCCTAGGGCGCCAAGATTTGGGGGCACCAAAAAGCAGTGCCCCCAATTTTTTTTTTTTTTTTTTTAAAAACAGCGTTCCTCCCCGAGCGCGCGGTCACCGCTCCACTTCTCCCACCTCCCAGGCTTGCAGCGCCAATCAGCTGTTTGGTGCCGCAAGCCTGGGAGGAGAATTAGAGTGGGGACGGCGTGCTCGGGGAGGAGGAGGAGCAGAGGTGAGCTGGGGTGGGGAGCTGCTGCAGGGCTGGGGGGGGGGGCCGTGCAAGGTGGAAGTTTCACCTAGGGCGTGAAACTTCCTTGCACCGGCCCTGGCCCAAGTTACTAAAGACCTTTTGAAAAATGGTACCATAACTTGACAAACACAATCCTATCCCCCACACAACGCTGCCTTTCATATTGGAGCCTGGTCTACACACAGATTCTAGCAGTATAACTATGTTGGTTAGAGGTATATTTTCCTGAAAATTATACATATATAATCCCTAATGTGGATGCAGTTATACAGCTGTAAAGGCATCTTACACTGAACTTACTCCCCTTCCCATACAGGAATAAGTTCTACTGGTATAAGAATCTTTATACCAATCTAGAATTGCATCCTCTAGTGGACGGGTTGTACCATTTTAAATATACAAGTTGTACATCTCCGCTATACCCGAATGTAGACAAGACAGCATAAGACTATACATCACTTCAGCAGTGTTAGCCACAATAACTTCCCAAACACATGGAACGCAAGTCAATCTGTGGTCAGAGGTTCTTAAACTTAATTGCTCCGTGATCCACTTCTGACAACAAAAATTACTACATGTCCCCTGGAGAGGGGACCAAAGCCTAAGCCCTGAGCCCCAGCAAGTCTAAACCCAGCACTGATAATCCCATTAAAATGGGGTCACAACCCACACTTTGAGAACTGCTAATGTAATTGATATCAAAGCTATGAAGTGATTTTAGATTTTGTGTTTGCACATTTGATGAAGTTGAGGTATGCATTGCTTTTAGAGATCTGTTGGAGATGGAAGTGAAATCCCTACAGAATGTGTTACTGACAGCATTGTAGGCAATATGCAGGTGGAAAGGAATGCACAAGTCTTGGAATAAGATCCAAATCGGCAAAGAAATCGTGTCATTTTGGTCATTTACAGAATATAATCATTTAGGAGAATTAGCTTTGAAGTGATGCAGTAGAATTTACAAGCTAATTCTGATTTTCTGCCCATTGGGCTTCACAACATGATTTAGCATCAAGTGCATGTTTAGGTACCTCAGGGTGGGGTTTCAAAGGCGTCTAAGTGATATAGGAGCATAAGTTTAATTGGCTTCACCTACATGCAGAATCAACGAGGCTACATAAGATTCCCGCCCCCTTTAAACAAAACCCAAATCCAGATCACTGTTAGACAAGAGAGAAAACTCCAGGGGCATTAGGGTTATTATAACAAAACACCCCAACATCCTTTTTAAATAAAATATTTTATTAGCTTCTGTAGCAAAAGTTTAGTCAAATAGGCCACATCCCATGTCATCGTCAGATTCCTCAGACTCCTCCTTCTTCTCTTCTTTCTTCTCAGCTGCAGAGAGAAAAGATTTAAACAGTGTTTACTCATCTGGGAATATTTACAGTACATTTTGGACATTGCAGGTGTGAGGAGATCCCAAAACACGCTCTCTTCATGGAAGCGTATCTTCCAATTAAATGGACACAAGTCACCCCTTTAAGTTTCAGTCTCCATATCTACTCTGTGCGGTGCTAACGGATTCAGTTTCTTTTTAACCTATACGTTTAAAGTGCCAAATTTTGCCTTCAGAGACATGCACAACTCTCAGTTACATCCACAGGAGTTGCATACACATACCTGAGGGTCCATTTTGGCTCTATAGACTTAAACCAGAACAAATTAATGAAGGTGAGGAGCAAGCAACTGTATAACTCTTACTGGTTGGCTGGTTTTACCTAACCGCCTTCTATGCACACCACTTTAACAGTTCATTCCCAGGTACAGTGCAGAGATTGTCTTCAGCGCTAGACTATGTCAGTTAATATTTCAATCTCAGGACAAGAAGCCAAACTACAATAAAAGAAGAAAAAGCTTCCTAAATTTACATGATGGGAATTAAGGCACTAAGATTTTAACGTATACTCACCAGCAGCAGGTGCAGCAGCAGGAGCAGCAGAACCTGGTCCAGCTGAGACTGCTACAGCTCCACCAACTGGCACGCTGGCAAGTTTGCCGTTACCTGTAAGGAACAAAAGGGTGGAGAATAGTAATTAAGCACTCAGAGTAAACCTGGCCCTGCAAATACTGCAACATGCAGAACCAAAGTTATGTAGTAAGATGGCACCTAGTCAATATGGTATATGGACACGTCTATGATAGGATGAAATGAATGAGAAAATATATAAAAATACATAAGGGATGTGATTACAGCCTAGCCTCTGACAAATTAACCCACACTAGCCACTTGCAAGGAACAACAAGGTGCCGGGTATTTGTTTGTTTAAAATACAGCACATTCTACAAGATTCCAGAGTTTAAGACTGAAACACTGGGCAGCTAGCCTACCAAAAAAATAAAAATCAATCTGGTGTTGACAATAGTTTTGGGCAGAATTTTTTTGCCTACAAAATCCCCCAAAGCTCTCTAAATCCATATTAAAAAGACAGACATCAACAGCAAGCAAACTTTACCAAAGAAAGGAAAAGGTATCCTTCAAGAAGCGCATTTCCAATGTGACCTCTGCTAGGTCCTGTCTAGTCTATATTGTCTACAATATGCTACAACCTTGGACTTTGCAGGAATGCAGCACTGTTTGGGAATATGATTAGATTCCCATGTATAGAAGAAGACCAAACAATATTTTAGCTGTTCCAAGGAGTACTGTGTAATAACCAGGCCCCTCCAACACAGTAGGAATTACATTACAGATGGGGACCTTTGAAATTAGTGAACTCACTACTGCTTAATGTCTCCAATTTCTGGAAAGTTAGCTCTCTGCCTTTTCTCTTGTGAATACTGAGATTCCCTCTGCTTTCAAAGTTTGCTTACCCAGTCTTTTTGCTTGTACTCCATTTCTAAGAATCAATTTCTAAATAATTCCTTAGGATTTCAGATTCCTATAACTAGCAAAATAAACATGTTTTATAATCATGTCAGATATTCTAGGAAGCCACATACAGTAGAACCTCAGTTACAAACATCTCAGGAATGGAGGCTGTTTGGAACTATGAAATGTTCATAACACTGAACAAAACATTATGGTTCTTCTTTCAAAACTTTACAACTGAACACTGACATCTTTGAAACTTTACTATGCAGAAGAAAGATTCTGCTTTCCTTTTTTTAGAATAGCTTATGTTTAACAGTACTGTATTTTTTTGTTTCTTTGTTTTTTATTGGGTCTCTGCCACTGCCTGATTATGTACTTCTGGTTCCAAATGAGATGTGTGGTTCACTGGTCAGTTCGTAACTGAGGTTCTACTGTATTTCTAAAATAAAATTATTCCATCAGCAGTCAACTGAATTATTTTAAGTCTGTGGGTTAAGTGCATGCATAATGGCTCTCTCAGATCCAGGGCCGGCTCTGGCTTTTTTGCCGCCCAAGGCAAAAAAGCCTCCGGCTGCCCCCCCCCCACGGGGGGGGGGCGGCCGGAGCCCCGGGGGAAGGGTGGCGAGCCCCGGCGGGGGCTCTGCT